AAACCCACTTATACAACTTGATTGCTTTCTCTCTCTCTCTCTCTCTCTCTCTCTGTCTCTGTCTCTTTTTTAACACCTTTCTGAGTTCAGCAAAATCTCTCTTCTTCCTGTGTGGGGAAAATAATCTTTAGATCTTCCTGTAATTGTCTGAGTCTATTTTTTGTGGTTAAAAAAAAAATTATTCCAGGAGTTGGCCGGGAATCTGTCTTTTGATATTCAACTTGGTATTCAACTATCAGGCTTTCGAGAGCCCAAGCTTGTTCTCGTGAGCCATTGGCTCTACCATGAGCTTCAGAAGTCTCTTGAAACCTGAGTTTTTCTCTCTTCATTTCTGCTGTAACAACCTTCTTCTAAGTGAATTAGAATGCAGCAGTGATGGGGAGGCAGGGCTGCGGAGAGAGAAGCAGAAGATGTTGGGAATGAAAGACCCGTGGTTTGGTGCTGCAGCATATCGTCCTGTCCCATTGTTTTGCTCTAGAGTTTGCATTTCTGCAAAGAAAGTGAACTTCAAGTTTACTGTGCCCTCCCCCACCTACAAGGAGGTGGAAACAAGGTCTCTGTGCCCAGGGAAGAATCATTCAGGTAGAGCCACCCACGGCTGTGCCCTTGGCTATCCCCACGTCTCCAGGATTGTGCAGGAAAGCCCGGTCCTCCTCTCCAGGCACTGCTCTTTTTCCAGGTGACTTTCTTCCTCCCATTGCTGCCCACTGACACCCACTCAGGCCCAGGGAGCTCAGCCACAGGTACGGGAAGAGCTTGGTTAAACTGGGGTAAACCTCGCAGGAAGCTTGTGCAGTTGGGTCTGAACAGCTGTCTCTGCTGAAAGATTGCAGGTATTGGGGGCTCATTCCCCAATCCTAGCATAGGAAATCAATTTTGAATGGTAGACCTTGCTGTCATTTCTCTCCGTGGTCTTAAGGATCTCTTTAGAGTTGGTTGATCCAGTGGGAAATCCAGCTACAGTGGAAAAAATCTGAGAGTCAGGTGAGTAATGAGTGGCTGGCTCATGTGTGTGTGACTGTGTGGCAGGACAGCCACCATACAGAAAACCCTCTCACACCCATACGTGCAAATCTGATGTTGGAAATCTTAATAAAGACTGCTCAGCAGAAATGCTAAGTGTCATAACTGGCAGGCTTGCCAGTTTGTAACCGTAGCTGACACAGATGGAGTTGTGACAATGTAGGTGATAACTGTCAACTTAAAAAAACTGCACAACGTGAGAGTTGCGAGTTAAGTTTTATTTGGGGCAAAATGAGGACTATAGCCCAGGAGACAGCATTTCAGATAGCTCTGAGAAACTGCTCTGAAGAGGTGGGGGGAAGGTCAGTATATATGTGATTTCGGTGAAGGGGGAGTACATGTGATCAAGCACACACACACATATATATATATATTTTTTTTAACATGTTTATTGGAGTATAATTGCTTTACAATGGTGTGTTAGTTTCTACTTTATAACAAAGTGACTCAGTTATACATATGTTCCCATACCTCTTCCCTCTTGGGTCTCCCTCCCTCCCACCCTCCCTGTCCCACCCCTCTAGGTGGTCACAAAGCACCGAGCTGATCTCCCTGTGCTATGCGGCTGCTTCCCACTAGCTATCTGTTTTACGTTTGGTAGTGTATATATGTCCATGCCACTCTCTCACTTTGTCACAGCTTACCCTTCCCCCTCCCCATATCCTCAAGTCCATTCTCTAGTAGGTCTGTGTCTTTATTCCCGTCTTGCCCCTAGGTTCTTCATGACCTTTTTTTTTCTTCTTCTTAGATTCCATATATATGTGTTAGCATACGGTATTTGTTTTTCTCTTTCTGACTTACTTCACTCTGTATGACAGACTCTAGGTCCATCCACCTCACTACAAATAACTCAATTTTGTTTCTTTTTATGGCTGAGTAATATTCCATTGTATATATGTGCCACATCTTCTTCATCCATTCATGTGTCGATGGACACTTAGGTTGCTTCCATGTCCTGGCTATTGTAAATAGTGCTGCAGTAAACCTTGTGGTACATGACACTTTTTGAATTATGGTTTTCTCAGGGTACATGCCCAGTAGTGGGATTGCTGGGTCATATGGTAGTTCTATTTTTAGTTTTTTAAGGAACCTCCATACTGTTCTCCATAGTGGCTGTATCAATTTACATTCCCACCAACAGTGCAAGAGGGTTCCCTTTTCTCCGCACCCTTTCCAGCATTTATCGTTCGTAGATTTTTTGATGATGGCCTAAATGGCCAATTCTTATCCTGCAGCCCCCCTACGAGCAAGCGTTTTAATTAATGAGTGGCCTTCCCTATGGGACCACTGCACAGTATGAGGACTCTGCGTCCATCACTCCCGTAAATTTCTCAGTTGCCTGAGAAAGCAGTAACCGGCCAGGAGAAAACTTGTCCCTTTTCTTCAGAGCAAAGCTCTCATGTAATATCTTCACTTTTATCCTGACAAATTCTATTAAGGCAGCTGATTTGAGGAAAAGCATCAGATCAGCCTCTCAGCTGATCCACCACTCAGCACAGACCACTCAGTCTCCTACAACTGGCAAACCCTGGTATCGTTCAACCAGTGCCCCCCCCCCCAAGTATCTTTCACCTGGGTGGGTATTGCCTGGAATCTTTCAACTAGCCCCCTGCCCTCCCCGCCAGTATCTTTCAACTGGGAGAGGCAGGTACCTGCTCTACACCGCCAACTACAGCTCTGGATCATCAGCCAATATGGGAGATCCGAGAACCAGGAGAGATTCACCCAAATTTGTCTGGACTCTCCGAGGTGGCGGATGGGTGCAAGGGGACTCTGCTGGTACCAAGGCTCTGGTCCCTTGCAGAGTTCAGGCAAAGGAGAGAAGTCCACTCTGGGTCCTTTCATGGTCGCCATAAAACTGTCGACTTAAAAAAACTGCACAACATGAGAGGTGCAAGTTAGGTTTTATTTGGGGCAAAATGAGGACTATAGGCCAGGAGACAGCATTTCAGAGAGCTCTGAGAAACTGCTCCGAAGAGGTGGGGGTCAGGTCAGTATACATGTGATTTTGGTGCAGGGGGAGCACATGCAACCAAGCACACATTCTTCGCAGAAGGTTTCTGCTACTCTCGTGAAGGTTACTGCTAGTCACGAGGCGCAACGTCACCATGAAGGATTTTAGTGCTTTTCTAGATACGAGGAGATGCAAGAATTGGGCTCATAAAATCTTCTGAAAATATCTGACCATCTGATGACCTGTTCTGCCAGTTTTTCCCAGAGCACAGAGGACCTCATTTCTGCTCTCCACCCTGAGCTCCTTTCAGGGGTGTTGATGGTCAGCAGCTGCAGCGGCTCATGGTTTGATCCTTGTAGAGGTAGCTGGCAAGTGCTAATGGCAAGTGCCAGTTTGTTGTTGACACTATACAGATACACAGATTTATAGAAAGAGGTTTATTATGAGGGTTTGGCTCATGCAGTTATGGAGGCCGAGGAGTCCTATGATCTGCTGTCCGCAAGCTGGAGGCCCAGGAAAGCCCGCGGTGTATACGGCTGTAGTCCAGGTCCAAAGGCCTGAGAACCAGGGGAGCCAGTGGTCTAAGTCCCAGTCCATGAAGGTCCGAGAACCAGGAGTGCTGACGTCTGAATGCAGAAGAAGATAAATGTTGCAGCTCAAGCAGAGAGCAAATTCGCCTGTCCTCTGCTTTTTTTTTCTGTTCAGGCCCTCATCCCACTTGCTTTGGTGAGGGCTGGCAATCTGTTTTATTCAGTCCACCAATTTAAATGCTTATCTCTTCCAGAAACACCGTCACAGACACGCCCAGAGGTAAAGTTTTGCCAGCTATCTGGGCCCCCCTTAGCCCAGTCAGTGAACATGTAAAATTAACCAGCACAGGGGTTTCCATATCCTCCTCAAGAGGTTATGTTGTAAAAAGATAACATTAAATGCAGTGTTCGGTACGAAAATGTTTTTGTATACTTTAAGCATTGTGTTTAACACTCCAAATCTTGGAGTCAGGGTAATATTTGTCCCAGTTCTCTTTTTCTCTCATTTCCCTACCCACTTTACCAATTTACTACCCACAAAATGCCTTTGCCCCACCCATTGGGGGAGGGGAGTTGTCTTTTAAGCACCACACATGCCATCTGGGCAGATCTGCACATTTTAGACCAGCTAGCACGGCGCCTCTCCAAGTGGGTAGATGACCTAAAATTCATTTCAGCGGAAATGCAGAATGGTAATTTGAACAATGGGCTCCCTTTTTGTTATATTTCTTCTGGAGAGCTGGGCTTAGCGTGTCATCCAGCTGTGCGTCCCATTTGTCTTGCAAGAAAAAGTGTCAAGCAGGAAATTAAAAATACTTCTATTTCAATTTTCAAGAATATATGTCACCAAGACTGAATTAAGCAAAACCCTTTTGTTTTAGAGAAGGTTGTTTCTGGGTATTATGATCTACTGGAACCATTTCTCTTTGGAAACGCAGTACAGTAATCTTGGCTCCAAAATCCAGTTTGCTTTCAATTTGCTCGGCTACCCCTTGCCGTATATGAGATGCAGGCGGCAGATTAACTTCTCCAAAATGCATGCCCTCAAATATTTCAAAGTGCTTACTTAAGCAGTAACCATGGTGTATATTTAAAACTGAAAGGTAGGTTACAAATGTTTCCTTGGGGGAGGGGGCAGACAACATGAAAAGTCAACATGCTGACAAAGTTTCTCAGAGTCTAGGTCAGTGATCATAGCTGTAACTAATTCTTGATGAATTCTGACTGCCTTCTAAGAGGATACATTTTTAATATTTCAGGGTTTTTTCCAGCTACCTTGACTTTTGTTGTCTCTAATTATGGCCACTGAGCTGTTATCTGTTTGCTATAGTGTCTTCATAGGCTAAAAAGTCAGATGTGTTCTACTGTAACTGATTTTTATTTTATTAAAAATTTTTTTTAATTAAAAAGTATTTTATTGGAGTGTAGTTGATTTACAATGTTGTGTTAATTTCTGCTCTATAGCAAAGTAACTGTAACTGATTTTTAAATAGGTGTAATCACTCCCGCCAGAGAGAGCGGTCCATATGCCTTTCAGAACCCAACGAATCACAAGAGAGCCCATCTCCACCGAATCTTGGTCAAATACTTCCAAAGGCAAACGGCTTTCTGGGAGCGTATCAAGAGCCGCCTTGGCACATGAAGATGAGCGGCTGCTGGGAGGATTTGTGCAGCCTTCTCTCAAGTCCTAGGTAAGTCTCGTTTTTATATCGTGTTCGGCAGATTTCGCTTTTCCTTTTGCTAAGCGCTGCATTGAGGTCTCCATGGTTCCCTTGAGCAAGACACATCCATTCATATATTCATTCGACACCGGTTCATTCAGATCCGGTGAAGATCAGATCTCCAAGGTGGGGTAGAAGTCCTTCCTGATAATGCTTCTAATTGATGATGCTATGCGTTGATCAAGCAATAATACTATTAGTAGCTTGTCATCACATGGGTGTCATGGTGATGGAAGGGGCCAGGGGCTGGGTTGAAAGTGGGAGGGAATTGCCTAACGTTTCAATGTGTGAGGATTTTCAAGACGTAAATGGACCTAGTTCAGAATGTGTCCCTTTGGACTAGGCTGGAGCCATCCACAGGGCCCTTCTGGTGATTCTGCAAGCATGTTGTTGTCTGTACAATCAACTAAGATGCCACTGGTTAGTCTCTTGTGTTACCCCGGCCCCCAGGGCCTGCTCAGCAGGGAGTCCTGGCCTCCATCACTGCCATTGACACCTTCCGTCTTCCTCACCCTTCATGTTCAGTCAAGGCCAAGTCCTTAGATTTTACTTCCGTAGAGCCTCTCACGTCCATTCTGTCATCTCTACCTGGCCCTCATTTCCCCTCTCTGGTCAATCTTTATGAAGCGAAGCTGTCATTACGTCACTGCGTGTGGTAGTTGTGTCCACCTTTGGGTCTTACCTCCCACCGGGTTGGTAGAGTCAGCCCATGGCCGTGTGTTTGCGGGGCTTGGGGGTGCGGGGGATCCTTGAAGTCCCTCCAGGACTGTGTAGGTTCCTTTTTTTCCTTTTGGGGTTGCTAAAAGTACAAATCACAAGGCCAAGTATCACCACCTAAGCAATAGAAGATGCATTAGATTCATCAGAACAGGGTTCAATTATAGCAGGAATCCCATATAATAACCATAGGAGGTCTAGTTGGCTGCCTGGGCCTCCTCAAACATTTGTTTTTCTGCCATAGTTCATGGTTACGCAGCTGCACGCAACCTGGACTCAATCTGCCCTCCTGGGTGCAGCTGGAATATTCTTTCAATGAGGTTTTCGAGAAATCCTGTGTTATAGTCTGCGATTTCAGGAGAGCTGCCCTCTTTATTGAAAGGTCTGGGCAAATGCTGCCACTCCTCCAACTTAATTCAACAGTCTTTTCTGAGTGCCTAGGCTATGCCAGGCATGATGCTAGATGCCAGGGACACAGCGATGGACACGATAGGCGTGGTTCCTGCCTTAATGGAGCTTTTGCTGGCGTGCAAAAGATAGACACTGTGGAGCAATTCAGCCTGAGGGGAGTGCTACACAGTGGTGGCACAGAGCCTAGAGCGGGGACGTGTGACCTGGCCTCAGGGACAGTGGACGTCACCCCGAAGCAGTGACATTTCACCTGAGACTTGGAGGATGAATGGGACCTGGTTGGACAAAGGGCAGAGGGAACAGCCACCCAGAGTCGGGAGGAAGAGTGGTGAGCATGAAGGACTGAACAAGTCCAGTATGGGCACGTGAGAGGTGGGCATGAAGGGAGTCCCGGGGCTGCAGAGGCAGGCAGGCACCCAAGTATGGAGGGTCAAGCTAAGGATCTGGCTCTGATCTGAAGAGCAGTGGGAAGCCACCGGGGGTTTAAGCAAGATGGTGCCAGGTTTGGTTTTGAAAGTTCGCTCTGGGTGCGGTGTGAAGAAGGAAATAAAAAAGGGACAAGCTTGGCTTGCCAGACATCTGATAGGGGTAATGACCCAGGTGAGAGGCGATGTTGGCTCTGACAAGGGGGAGGCAATGGGAACGCAGGGGAAGGTTGGGAGGTAGAATCCACGGGACTTGATCATGAAGTGGGTACAGGAGATGGAGGAGTCAGAGGTGCCTCCCATGGTTCTGACTTGAACGACTGGCCATCAGCCGAAACAGGAAACACTCCCAGAGGAGCAGCTTTAGGGGACAGAAGCTGTGCTGAGTTTGGAGTGATGGTAGAATGTTGGGAAGAGATATTCTCTGGGCTCAGGGAAAGACAGCCAGGCCAGGGATACATGCATACTGTGGGCATTGAAGCCAGGAGAGGGGATGAGGGCATCCAGGGACAGGAAGAAGGGAGGTGGGCCTAGGGCAAAACTCCGAGGGGTGAGCAGAGAAGGACGCAGCGAGGAGAAGAGAAAGAGGGGTTACAGAGATAGGAGGAAAACCAGGAGACTAGGGAGTTAGAAATTCCCAAAGTGAGGATGGATATCAATTAAATGCATTCAATTGAGTGTCTAATATTCCATTTTAAATGACTTTCTTCTCTGTGCCATGTTGAAACTCTGCTCTGATGCCCCTACACTTTTAGCAAGTCTGTTACAAACTATTTGGGGGCAGGAGGGAGAACCCATCGTGTTGCACATTTAGGGCAGTGTGGGTCAGAGAGGGGACAGCAAGCAGCCTCGGGAAGCCACTGCCTTCTCAAGCACAGGCCCAGGTGGGACGAGGCGCCCTGATGGGAGCAGGGGTTTAGGGCCAAGAGCACAGGTAGAGCCAGCCATGACTGCGAGGCAGGACTGGCCCAGCTGGGGAGTGGATGCAGGACAGAGATTCCTTTCCCCAAATCCACCAGCGGGGAGAAGTGACCTGAGGAAGGGAGGGCCAGATCCTGCTGCCTGGTGGAGAGGAGCTTTCCAGGTAGGCACTTGCTACTTCCAAGTAGCAAGAAAGCTCCGATTCATGGCGACTTCAGAGCATCCTTGCAACCACAGTGCCTAGCCTCCCTCCCCATGCGGGAGATGATTAAGAATTCTCTTTTTGAGGCTCCTTCTTCCTTATCTGCATTCTGTTCTGAAAGGTAAATAAGCTACTTATACTTTTGACCCCTATCTGCTCTGGTAGGTTCCTTTAACAGTGAGAGTTTTCTAAGAGTGCCCAGTGGCATTAGTTTGACTGCGGGTGGAAGACAGTCTGGCATCTCTCCTGGTCCACCAGGCTGTTGCTCTGTATGCCCTGTTCTCAGTTCTCCCTCCCGACTGTGTGGTTTGGCTCCCTCTGGTGGCTGCAGCAAGAACAGGAAGCCTAATTTCTTGGCTTCATGGAACGATGCGCAGTTCTGAGTTTGGGACCCGCTTCTCCCTTGATGCTTCCTGACCCACCCCTACCCTACCCAGCAGCGCTGGCTGGGGAAGCTGCACCTCTGATTGATAGGCCAGTAGAGAGGTCTTTGAGTCAAGAAGACAACTTTAATGGTCAGGTCAGTTTTTATAGGTTCTCTTCAACATGATACTTTTGATTTTTGGCTGGAGCCCTGGGTCACATCAAACTGAAGAAAACCCATTTCTGGCTGCAGTTGCATTTTTGGACAATGTCAAAGGTGAGAAGAAGATGTGGCAGAAGGATGAGTCCTAGCCTGGCTCCGTCTTGACAGATGGCTGGCTGGCTGCCCTCCAGGTGGTGGATGGGGTGGGGTGAGGAGAATCATCTTGTTTTTAAGCGGCAGGCTTTCCTATTAGGGCAAAGGATAAATGCATTACATTCCAGGATCTTGTCAGAAGATTGTAGTACATGGGAAAACACCAGCTTTTCATGATTAATGTATGAATCTTTGCCCTTGCTACCTCCAGAATCTCTAAATATTTGGGGTAAATGGGACAAAATCGCTCTACAGAAAAATTAAAAGAATAAAAGGCACAATTTGCTATGGCCACAGAAAATATGAAATATCTAAGAATAAATTTAATAAGAAATGTGCACGATCTTTATTCTTATAAAAAAGCTTCAGAATTACAGAAAATAAGATTTCAGTATGTAGGGAGACATACCATATTCTAGGATGGGGCAACTCAATGTTATAAAGCTGTCAGTTCTTCCCCAATTGGTTTATAGACGTAAGACAATTCTAACTGAAACCCCAATGGGATGAAAACATTTCTAAATTTTCATAATGATTCCAAAATTCTTGGAGAAAAAATATACGAGAGTAAGAGTTTAAAATAATGAGGGCAATTTGAATTTCAAGTTATTTAAACATATTATGAAGCAATAATAATAATTTAAAAAATGCTACTGGCAGCAAAAATAGCTCAGTTGAACAAAATAGAATGCTCAGACAGACTCAGGTGCAGATATAAGAAATTAGTAAATGATAGAAGCTTTTCAAATTAGATGGATTATGGAATAAATAGTGCTGTGATAATGATACACTATTTGGTAAATATAGTTAAGTTACCTGAAACATTGCACCAAAATAAATTCCAGGAGGATTAGAGTTAAATATAAGAAAGTGAAATTCTATATAAAGAAAACTATAAGAAAATATGGATGAGTCTAAGCAAGAAAACAAAAGAGTAAATCATGAAAGAGAAGATAATTGATAAATCTGTCTAAATAAACACATGAAGTTCCCATATGTAAAACAAAACAACACAAATCAACTCTGAGAAAGTCAGAAACACAACTACAAGGCAAGTGATAACTGGGAAAAATATTTGTAACACACACAACAGGCAAAGGATTAATAACAATATTTCTAATATGTAAAAATGCTCTTAAAATCAATAAGAAAATGATGAACACTTCAGTAAAAATAGGCAAGATCACAAACAGGTCATCCAAAGAACATTCTCAGTCCTTGTCTGACTTTACTTCTTAGCGTCAATGGATTTTTTTTTTTTTTTTTTTTTTGCGGTACCTCTCACTGTTGTGGCCTCTCCCATTGTGCTCCGGACGCGCAGGCTCAGCGGCCACGGCTCACGGGCCCAGCCGCTCCACTGCATGTGGGATCTTCCCGGACTGGGGCACGAACCCGTGTCCCCTGCATCGGCAGGCGGACTCTCAACCACTGCGCCACCAGGGAAGCCCCGTCAATGGATTTTTTGACCTGGCCCTCCTCTTCTAAACATTCTGGTCTCTGTTTTACTCGTATATACTCCCATGGTTCATCTTCCATCTCTCTGGCTGTAGCTTTTCTGTCTCTTTTTTAGTTCCTCCTCTTCTACCTGGCTTCTAAGTGTTAGAATTCCTTAAGG